GGGGGGGGATGGGGGGTATTTACTTGTTATTGTGTTTATTATGCTTTTGATTGTTTTGTTATGATGGAAAATAATAAAAAAAAATTTGGAAAAAAAATCGCTATCCTTTTTAGGTACACCGAGAGCTTGTGCAGGGAGACAAATTCCTTGCATGTCCAACCACACTCGGCCGAGAAAAATTCTATTCTATTCTAAAAATTGTGATCAAAACTCAAGGACTACCTATAACAGAGGTCCTCAACCTTTTGGACAGCAGGGACCGTTTCCGCGGAGAGAGGCTTTCTCGCAGACCGGAGGGTGCGCGCGGTTTCGTGGGCTGACTGCATCTCGCGGATGGGGCTGTTTGTTTGTTTGTGCGGCCCGGTTGCTGGCATGCCGCGGCCCAGTACTGGTCCATGGCTCGGGGGTCGGGGACCCCTGACCTATACCACACACAGAAGGAAGCTAAGGTAAGGAAAGCTGGGCCGTATCCTTTTCCGTAGGCATCCGTGAAGATTTCGGAAGCTAGGAAGAAACTACTACCGACGGCGCTGCCCTTTGCACCAGAACCGCGGAGAATGGCCTGAGGAAAGAAAGCCAGGAGCTTCAGCAGATGCTTACCAAATAAATCAGGCTCCACATTTATTATCAAAAAGAACAGAAGAGGGGAGGGGGGCAAGGAAGCCAGAAGCTAGGAGAAGAGCAGTTTGTGTCCATCAAGGTTACGTTGCCGGACAGATGGGGGTTAGTTGAGTCAGAAACCCGTTACTGGCGTAGAGGGAGGGGACCCTGACTCAGTGCTCCAGTGGGCAGAGAGGTAGGTATCTCTGCAGGATGTCCTTCTCCAGCCCCCCTCCCCATCAGTCCTCCGTCCCCGGATACCAGGGCTGGCTTTGGAGGGGGGGTGTCAGGGAGCAGGGACGGCCCCTCACTCCCCCATGTGTGTCCGCAAGTGGTACTTGAGCGACTGCTTGTAGCGGAAGCACTTGGCGCATTCCGTGCACGGGTAGGGCCGCTCGCCGGTGTGCGCCCGCTGGTGCTCCAGCAGGTGATGCTTCTGGGTGAAATTCTTCCCGCACTCGGCGCAGTGGTACGGCCGCTCGCCCGTGTGGATGCGCTGGTGCTCCAGCAGGTGGTGCTTGCGGATGAAGCCCTTGCCGCACTCGCCGCAGGCGTGGGGCCGCTCCCGGGTGTGCACCCGGTAGTGGTTGGTCAGCTTCGACTTCTCGCTGAAGGTCTTGTCGCACTGGCTGCACTTGTACGGCCGCTCGCCCGTGTGAGTCCGCTGGTGCCGCAGGAGGTGGGAGGGCCGGCTGAAGGCCTTGCCGCACTGCGGGCAGATGAAGGACAGCTCGGTTTTGCCGGCGTGCACCCGCTGGTGCATGGCCAGCGAGATCTGCAGCCGGAAGCTCTTCCGACACTCGCTGCACGAGAACGGGCGCTCGCCCACGTGGGTGATCTGGTGCTTGCTCAGGCTGGACTTGTGGCTGAAGCTGCTGTCGCACTCGCTGCACTTGTACGGCTTGCCGGGCGGTGGGGGCGGCTGAGGCTGCGGCTTAAAGTTGCGCTTGTTGGGGTAGGCCTGTCCGCGGCGGGGCGGAGGCGCCACCCCGCGCCGCGCCGTGTGCAGCCGCTGGTGCAGGAGGTACTGCTGCTTGATGCGGAAGCTGAGGTCGCAGGCGTGGCACTCGTAGGGCCCCTCCTTGAGGTGGTTCCGCTGATGGATGATGTAGTTGATCCGCAGCATGAAGCTCTTGCCACAATCCGGACAGATGTACGGCCGCTCGCGCGTCCGGTTCCGCTGCTGCAGGGTGACCGGCCGCGCCTCGACGCTATTGTCTCTCTCGCAGAGCGGGGCGCAGATGCCCACGGTGGGGCGGGGCGGCTTGGCCGCCCTTTGCTCCTCCCGGAGAACCTCCACGTTGCAAGTCAGCGAGCAGGGCGGTTCCGCCCGGGAAGAAAACAGCCCTCGGGTCTCCAAGCTGACGGGGTCTTCCTCCTCCTCTTCTTCCTCCTCCTCTTCCTCCTCGTCCTCCTCTTCTTCTTCCTCCTCTTCTTCCTCTTCCTCCATTTTGATTACGATCCCGTCATCTTGCGAGAAAGACAGAAAGGGGAAAAAAATATCAGGGCGTGCACGCAGCATCGTTCGGCGAGAAGAAAAAACCCATTTAGGGCTCAAAACCTCTCGCAACGGGCAGGAGGACGGGTTGAGGCGGTTGCCGTCCTTGGAACACAAAATATCACAGAGTCTCTCAGGATACTCAATAATTGCAAAATGAGAGTCCACTGGGAGGAGATCTTTGGGGGAGCGTAGATATTTACATGGGACAGGATAAGACAGGGGTCCCACCCTCTTAAAGCCTACCGGCTGGGGAATTCTGGGAGTGGAAGTCCATCCCTCTTCAAGCATGCTGGGAGCCCCCCCCCTTAGGGCTGAGGGTCCTCAGAGCCAGAGGGCAAGGGGCACCCCTCTCCACACGGGGTTATTTCCCCCCAGGGGCAGGCGGCCACGACTAGGGGGGCGTCTCTGCTCACCCGTGCAGTTGCCATGCTGGACGGTCACTCTCTTGATCTCCCCAAAGTTCACGTCGTACTCGCTTCCTTCCTCCACGTTGTTCCCAGCAAAATTTCCCAGGGGGGTGGCGGCGCTGTAGGGGCTTCCACAGGGGGCTTCGGGGTCCAGGCCCTGGAAATCCCCTTCCGAACTGCCGGACATCTGGTGGGGCTCCAGGTCACCGGGACATTCGTCGGAATGCGGCTCTTCCGTTTTGATGACCACCCGGATGCCGGCTGCGGAGAGGGGAAAAACGTCAGAAGGCAAGGCAGGGCTTCGGTCGCGCCTATCCCCGATGTAACAACCGTGTGTTTTAGCGACCGCTCCACGTCGCCACGGCAGTGGGAAAAAGGGACCGCTGGCCCTTTCCCCGACTTAGGACCGTGGCAGCGTCAATGCGTTGAACTTGACCGAACGTCAGACGCTTGGCCACTGAGTCGTAGTCATAACGATCGCAGAACCCCGGGGTCGCGTGATCCCCTTTTGTGACGAGTCATGTCAACGAGGGATCCGGATTCACTGAAAAACGGCACTAGGTGGGCGTGGCTGGGGGATTCTGGGAGTTGAAGTCTACGCCTCTTAAAGCATCCCGCCTGGGGGATTCTGGGAGTGGAAGTCCTCCCTTCTTAAAGCATGCTGGCTGAGGGATTCTGGGAGTGGAAGTCCACGCCGATTAAAGCAGGCTGGTTGGGGGATTCTGGGAGTTGAAGTCCATCCCTCTTAAAGCATGCTGGCTGGGGGATTCTGGAAGTCCACCCCTCTTAAAGAATGCCGGCTAGGGGATTCTGGGAGTTGAAGTCCTCCCCTCTTACAGCATGCCGGCTGGGGAATTCTGGGAGTGTAAGTCCACGCCGATTAAAGCAGGCTGGTTGGGGGATTCTGGGAGTGGAAGTCCTCCCCTCTTAAGCATTCCGTCTGGGAGATTCTGGGAGTTGAAGTCCTCCCCTCTTAAATCATCCTGGCTGGGGGATTCTGGGAGTTGAAGTCCTCCCCTCTTAAAGCATGGCTGGCTGGGGGATTCTGGGAGTTGAAGTCCTCCCTCTTAAAGCATGCCAGCTGGGGGATTCTGGGAGTCGAAGTCCTCCCTTCTTAAAGCATGCCGACTGGGGGATTCTGGGAGTCGAAGTCCACGGGTCTGAAAGTTGCCAAGATTGGGAAACCCGTGGATAAAACGTGAGCAAAGCAGCTCCGTCTGATCTAAAGGTCTAAAAATCTAAAGATAATTGGATTTAATTTGCTGGCAAATCTCTTCCCGGCGGAGGCCGGCACTCACCGGCTGTGGCATCGGGCAGGCTGCCCTGTTCCTCCGAGTCCCGATCGTCTCCCAGACAGGCGTCCGTCGCCCGCTCGGCCTGGGACAGCACGCCTGGCTTGGAAATTGCATAGTCTGTGGGAGGAAGGGGAGAGAGAGAGGTCAGCCCTTGGGTCCAGGGCCAGGAGACAAGACTCGGGTTCAAAAGACGGCTCTGGTGGGTACAGCTGTGGAAGCAAGGAAGCATAAGGTGTGCTAGGGGAAAGAAAATGACAGTGAGATGGGAGGGGGGAGAAAAGAAAGAAAGAAAGAAAGAA